TGTTTTTATTTGATCCTTTTTGTTTGTATTCTGACTTTAGCACAAAGGCTTGTTTCATCTTTTTTGAAGTGCTGTAGAAAGTCGATCGAGTGCATCTGTTGCATCTGTAATCACCCCCTACTGGACTCACCGGGCTTAGCGCTGAGTCAGCACTTTCCAGTGGATGCTACAGACCAAAGTTGTGACCAGGTGTGAGACAGAGACCGTGCTCGGTCAGCAAAAAGGCGAGCAGCCTGTGGTGTGAGCGCTCTGTGATGACGCACCACAGGAAGGTGTTGAAGATTGTTCTCTCCCCGTCCTTTTGCCTCTTTGTTCTGGTGCCACCAACAGTCACAGCCGTTTGGGTCTGTGAAACCGCTTATCACTGTTTACCAAAAGAAAAGGCTCTTTTAGTCGTGTCAGATGATACTCGCCACTCAGTTTTTTTGAAGTACTAATTGAACAAACCCTTATCATCCAGCTTCTTCTGGATGTCGCTCATTTTGACTGAGCTGCATGATTTCCTGTGTTACCCAAGAAGCTTGATTTCATTTAATCAGACTTTGGGCTGCGTGAGGCCTTACGGTGCGCTCTCACTCTCTTTTTACACGTCTCTGAATTAAAGAGAGACAAGACAAGCTCCGACTTACCCCTATCTGATTGTAATGAGTTGGAAATAAATGAAGTGACTGAATTATGCTTCCAAGAAGACATTTCAGTTAGAGTCTTAGAATTTGGGGGATGGAAAAAAAGAGGAGAGGAAAGTTAAAGTTTGATGTCTATTTTGGGAAACTCTATAAAAGAAATAAAAGTAATCGAAGGAAAAGAGCAAACTCATCATGAACTTTCCTCTGCATGAAAGGTAAAGTCACCTAAATTACCATTAAAACTCCAGTCAGGCTTTAGTTGCCTCATTGGTTCAGAATTATTTTCTAACCACAGCTGCATGGTCACCTCTACCTGTCTGACCCCCCTCCCACAGACAGGCTCACCCACAGACACACTTTTCTCACAATCAGCTGTTCTGTCCTCTACAACACACCAGCTGTGGCTCTGAACAGTCTGGGTTGTTATGACACGGGGTCATTTCTTCAGGCTGCTCTCCATCTGTAGATGTCAGGAAGGAGAGTCACTCTTGCAGGTGAGATTCGGTGTTGGGAAAGTCCATCAAAGCTGCTGCAAAGAAGGTTTTTCCTCACAAAGATTCTTAGTTCAGAAGTCCTGATGTGGTTACAGCTTTTGTCATAGTTGTGTATATAATGTAAAACAGTCTTTTGGAATAGCAGCATCTCTTGTCACAAACAGTATGCGGTGATAATGAAGTATTTTTCATTAATTTGGCTCTTTAACGGAGCTTCTGTCTCCCATGGTTTCTCGGGTGATGTGCAAGCGTTATGGCAGACATACTTGTAGAAATCACAAGTAAAGCTGGGGGATGTGTCTGATCAGATGTACCAGAATAACTTTTCTGGGGTCTCATTTATCAAACATTGTGTAGAATCCTTACTAAAACCGTACTTAAGCTCAGCGAAAAAATGTACTTACGCCAAGTAGGTTTGTGATCTATCAAACATGGAGTACGCACAGCTGCACGCAATCTCCGCTTCATAAATCAGAGACTAACGAGAATGTTTCTCAGCTGCATTTTAGTCACATCCCGCCCTCACCACGCCCACTTACTGCCATAAATGGTCAATGCAAAGTGCCTTGTGGACCTCATGCATGTACATAAGCTGGCTTGTTGCAGCATTTCGATCACGACCGCAGATCAAGGAAGCACAATTTCACAAGCAGAAGTTGAGGTACTTGTGGGTGAGGTGGAGAAATGAAAGGAAGTGCTAATGCGAAACAAATAAGAGAAAATCCGGAGTGGCATTGCTGAGTCAATGCTGAGTTCTTCAGAGAGATCTGTAGCGGATAAAAAAAAGATCTGATCAGGTTTTGAAAGTCACACGTGCTAACCAGTCAGCCAAACAGAGATCTCTCTTGGTCAAGCAGCCAGGGCGCATGATCAATCGGGTCACAGTGACAGGACACACACTGTCACGGATGCATGACATTCTGTCTCAGTCTTTCCCCCTGCTGATTTCTGCATTCTGTATTCTGGCTTCAGGCTGTGTGTGTACGCGTGTTTATGTGCGTGTGGGGGGTCTTGTTCTGTGTGAAAACAAAGCAGTACAAGTGATAATGCTGCAGGATTTCATGATTGTATCCTTCTCAGCAGCAGCACTGCAGGTGCTCTCCATGTCCAAAATGTGCGTAAGCAAGGTCCTTAGTCAACTTAAAGTTGTGCACATTTTTCCACTAAGTTTTCTTTCATAAATCCCAAAGTTTGCGTGGAAAGTTGCTTACGCAGTTTTCCGACCCCGTTTTGTGCGTAAGCAAGCTTGATAAATGAGGCCACTGGTCACTAGCAACACAGGAATCATGCTTGAAACTTTTTCTTCTGGTCAAAAGATGCCATGTGAATGCAGAGGGAAGCTTCTTTCAGAAAATAACAATATAGCGATGTGTTTTTAGGGTGAGGCAGTTTTCCCCTTTCTTGTTTATTATTAGTGTTATTTCTTGCTCAGTGCCACCATCACTCAGGGAAAACCCCACAAACAAAGAAGACAGGTTCACAGACAACAGGTCCATCTCCTAAATGTTTCCCTACAGGAACAGAACCAGACTCTAAACAGAACATGTAAAATTCTCCTTAAAGGTGTGGGAAACTTGTTTAATCAAAGTATATGCAGTGGTCTCTGGTATGTAGGAATGAATACATAGCAAGCCATACTCGGGGCAAAAAAGAAGCTCACAAGTGCTTGGATCAGCACGGACAAGTCTGCTGCAGCAGAGTGGCACAACACACCAGGATTTGGAGTTTTACTTCAAGATATTTGGACATCTTACCTCAGATTGGATACCAGCAATGCTACTCTACCACTGACTGGCAATGTGGATGTTTTATCTCCACAAATAACACAAGCCTGGAGGAGTTTTTCTGTGTGGTGGTGTTGCTGATGCTAACGTTTAGCTTTGAGTAGCTGAGATGTTAGCAACAACAGCCTTCCCTGTCGTAAGTCAAGATGCACGAGTCAATGAATGTTAAGTGGCAGTGTGACGTAGATCTGTCAGGCTTTTCAAATCCTAGAGTTTCACTGTCTGTTTTAAATCAGAATCTAATTCAGGTGATAGGTGTAGGAGACTATTTACATGTTCAGCCTGCATGAAAAACTCACAGTGACAGATTATAATTAGAAATAATGATTAAAATTTTATTTTCTGAGTTCCACACCTTTTAATTAAATTAGCAAATGACAAATAGAGTGAGACATTCTATCAGCTACGCTTGGCAGCCCGGCTCTGGCTTCTCTTCTTGTTCAGCAGCTCTGAGCTGGGAAGCAAGCGTGATTTGTACACAGAGGGGGGTTATGCTCGGGGGGGTGGGGGTGGGGGTGGGGGGTGGGGGGTGGGTTGGAGAATCAAGGGGCAGTTTGATGGATTGGTCATGACTCCTGTTTTTGATAAAACATTTAATTTATTGGTAGCCATCAGTATGTGAAGAGTGCTTCAAGCAAAGATGGTTCAACCCCTCCCCTTCTTAGTTACTTTACACAAGGCCAAAAACATTTTAGCAATTACATATTTTGTTCAAAACAGACTTTAGCTCAATGTAATTCCTTAGACGTAAAGTAATCAAACAGAATAGACATTTTAAGTGTGTGTGAACTTATTTCCTTGAGTGGATCTGTCTTTTTTTTAGTTAATACGCTTGAATCTCAAAATGTTGTTTCATCTCATTACTAATGCAAAATAAAAACCAGAACAGGGTGGTTTACATTTATTTATAATGGGACTATTTTAATTAGCACAGTGTGGTTTGTTTTCTATTACAGTTTGTTTGGTCTCATAAATAAAGGGAATCCTAAAAGTACAGATTTTTTTAAATCCTGTTAGCATTGGATCTCCCTGCGTTCCTTCACCTGCGTTCCTTCACCTGTGTATGACCGATTGTTTACTACGTGTGTGTTTTCTTTCAGCAGTAGCAGGGCACCTGTTCCTGATAATGAGCTATTTTCTCTGTAGGAGTTTACACCTCGCTCTGGGGGACTCTGCACCTGCAATGATGCTTTGAGCCGGTGGACTTTCTTGTTTTGTTTGGGGCCTCTGACAGGACACACAGAATTGCTCGGAAGCAGAAATGAACCCAGGACCTTGCTCGTGTCATTTTTTTCTTGCTTCTACGAGGCAAACCTGTTTACGTCCCTGTAGGGGATGTTTCCTGATACCTTTAGATTGTAGTTTAGGAGTGCAGTGATAAGGGTTACAGTGATGATGACTCACTTAATCCCTGAAAGTTATGAGTCTTCAATACCTGCCAGGGAGGTTTTGGACAGATTTATAGGCTCTGGGTTTAGCTGGGGTCTTCTGCGAGTCTTTTTTATTTGAGCTGAGCTCGTTTACACGGTGGGACAGCAAAGAAGATGAAGAAACCTCTTCATCACTTCCTTTTCTGCAGTCCAACAAACATTCAAGCATTAATTACTATCAATAGGCAGCACAAGGAAGAATGGTTTTTACTTTTCAGCACCGTGTTTCTTACAGCTCTGGAAGTTTGTTTAAGTGAGTCATTGATCAGAGCGGGATGACGTCATCGGACTCATGAGGTGTCAGTGGAGGGATCGTGTGTCTCTGCGAAAACGCCTTGTGATGGTAAGATGTCCCCAAAGTCTCTGGGCAAGGACAGTCCTGGAACATATGTGATGTCTCGCTGTCTCAGAGTCTTGTGTGGAGACAAATGTGCACGGCACATGAGGGACTTGTTAAGGATTTTGTGACATTGCACCATTTGGTGAGTCTTGTCAACTGTTTGATGAATTTTTATTTTTTTGGGTGGACATATGAGTTTCAGATACACAAAGACACTCATGCATTTACAAATGTACATGTTTAAATGAAAAACAACATTTGCATGTTTTGCTGTAGGAGTTGCATTAACAGCCAATCACCTCTATCCATATCTCTCTCTGTCTTAGTACAAGCAAGTGGAGCAGTATATGTCCTTCCACAAGCTGCCCGCTGACTTCCGACAGAAAATCCATGACTATTATGAGCACAGATACCAGGGCAAGATGTTTGACGAGGAGAGCATCCTGGGAGAACTCAGTGAACCTCTCAGAGAGGTGAGATGAATACACACAACATGGAGCAATTCTTCCATGAAACTAGAGTCAGTTTCTTTTTGATTATTCCAAATTAAATGAACTTTTTGTGTTTCAGTAAAAATGCATCCAAACTGGGCTTTTACACTCCCTGTGCTGCACTCAAACTCATGCAGGCAAAGGGACAAATGCTATCTTTTGTTGCACAAAGAAATGTGTGTATGTGTGTGTGATTTTTATTTTTAGGAAATTGTCAACTTCAACTGTCGCAAGCTGGTAGCGTCCATGCCACTTTTTGCCAACGCAGAGCCAAACTTTGTGACAGCCATGCTGACGAAGCTCCGCTTTGAGGTATTCCAACCACAAGACTACATCATAAGGGAAGGCACCATCGGCAAAAAAATGTACTTCATCCAACACGGGGTGTGCAGCGTCATAACCAAAGGGACGCTTGCAATGAAGCTGTCAGATGGCTCTTATTTTGGAGGTAGGGGAGCAACTTTTTCTGTTTTTCTCCAGTTGGCACTGCTTTTGTCTTTGCTTTAATTTCATGCTTCTTCCTGTTTCAGAGATCTGTTTACTGACAAGAGGCCGACGAACAGCGAGCGTTCGAGCAGAGACGTACTGTCGGCTCTACTCTCTGTCTGTCGACCACTTCAATGAGGTGCTGGAGGAGTATCCCATGATGAGACGAGCCTTCGAGACGGTTGCCATTGATCGTCTTGACCGAATAGGTAAAATAAATACAGAAACGATGAACATGCATGACTCATGGGTACTGTGTTAATGCATGGCAAACATACAAGGGTTTTAGATTTTACTGGAATTTAAAGACCTTTGAAATAATCTTCATGTACGTAAGTAAGAAAGAAATTATTTCAGAACAAATGTAGATATAAGCAGTAAAATGATCTGTGCTGTTCTCTGAAACGAACCCTGTAACTGTAGATGAGAGTACATCTCCTTTGTCCTCCGGGTTGGTTCTGTTAGAGGACATCACATACTGTAACTAACTCCAGTTGTTTTCTCTTTATAAACCCTAATTTTGTCTGTTTTTCTTGCTTTTCTCAACCTTTTTTTGTCCTTTATGCTCTGCCCTCTACCATTTTCTGCTTCTACCTTCTAACTTAGTCTTTTTTCATCCTCTCTGCAGGTAAAAAGAACTCCATCTTGATGCACAAGGTTCAGCATGATCTCAACTCTGGTGCTTTCAACAACCGGGAGAATGAGATGATCCAGGAGATTGTCAAGTATGACAGAGAAATGGTGAAACTGGTGGACCTTCAGCGGCCACGGGCCATGTCTATGACCCCCTCCATTGGTGGAATCTTTGCCCCTCCGGGTCAGCCGCAATCAGGCTCTGCAATCGCCACCCTCCAGCAAGCTGTGGCGATGAGTTTCTGCCCTCAGATGGCTAGTCCACTGGTGGGTCCAGGCACCCTGCAGTCTCCACGCATGGTGCGAAGGTTTCAGGTGATGCAGAACCTATCGAGTCCGATCTCTATGTCTCCTCTTCAGTCCCAGCCTCCCCAGACACCTGGAGGGGCATTTGGATCTGCAATCTCCAGTCCACCGGTCCAAAGCCCCCTCACAGCTACAGGTCGGACTTTTCAGTACATGGCAAGTGTAGGACCATCTGGGTCCCAGTTGTCCCTTGTGCAGCACCATGCACCCAGTCCCACACAGACCCAGCAGAGGCCTGCCTCACACAAAAGCACCCACTCTCTTCATACAGACAACTTGAGCCAAGACACTCGGGCTCTATCTGCCTCCCAGCCTTCACTTCCCCAGGAGGGAACACCACAAGCTTCCTCTGCAGCCCCCAGCCCTCCCCCCTCCACCCGCACCTCCAACTCCTCCATCGGCCCCCCTCAGCCCCCTCACCATAGCTTGCCGGGGCCCTCAGGGGTGGGGAGACCGGCGGGAGCTCAGCAGAGGGTTGCCTTTGCCTCCACACCCCCTCCTGGTGGACCTACTTGCATGGGGGCAGTAGCAGCAGCTGCTGGATCAGGAACTCCAGACTCTGCAGTTCCCAAGAAAGATTCGATTGTCAGCCTTCCGGAGCTAGACTCTGCCAGATCCCGGCTTTCTTCCAACTTGTGACCCTGGAGGACTTCAGGAACGAGGCCTTTTTTTCGTAGGAGAATCTGTTCGGTTAAAGGTCAGTCCAGCTGATCCCTCAGCTCGCCACTGACTAATCAGCTACTGCCAGCGCCACCGGTCACTTGACCTGGATGCACTGTGCGTTGGTCTCAGCAGAATGAAAAGAGCTACTCGACATCTAGAAACACTTTGGCAAGAAGGAGTCTATACAATTATACTAGAATAAAATTAAGGTTGAACTTGTCTGGTCTGCTGTGCCAGCACTTTTAGTCTTAGTATCACCCCTTTCACTCTGCTTCCAAACACCTACTGCATATCGCTGTCTTTACTGTAAAGATATGAAGAAAAGTATGATTAATGTACCTACTGCATACTGTGTAGAATCCATGCAATGCAATCTAGCAGGAGCTGGACTTAAAAATGAAAATCAGGGACTTGAGGTAAAATGACAATGACATTTTAAGTGTTCAAAAATGTTTTAAGTGTTTTTTTCTTCCTATATACGCTGTCGTAGCAAACGAACTCCTTTTGTTCAAAATTGTCGTGAAAATAGTGTTTTAGACCGCTGGTCGATCTTACATCAGTGTGTAAATAATTGATGAAAAAGGTGAGGAAGGATATTATATTCATCATATCTACCCAAAAACCAAAGTTGAGCTTAAACACCAAGTCTGGTTGTGTCTGTATCAACAACAACAACAACAACAAAAAAGAACAACAAAAAAAAAAGAAACATAAAAGAAAATGCCATTTATTTAACTGCCTTGATTCAACATTAGAAGCCATATATTTGGTTTGTGTGTATGTATAAATATGGGCGTAAGTGTGTGTGTGTGTGTGGGTGGGGGGTGGGGGTGGGGGTGGGTGGGGGTGGGGGTGGGGGGGGGGTTGATGTGTTTTGGTTCCATTTTCAGAGAAGGGACTCACACTCTCCACGATGCATGGTCAAACTTGACCGGTTTGACATGCTGACAGTGGCACTGCCCTGTTTTCATGAATCATCTGAGAAGTGGTCAGCTGTTTGCTCAACACACTGATTGTAACGCTAAAGGCAACGCTGGTTAAGTAATCTGAGCTTTACTGGGAGGAAACATTTGTGAACAGCCCACACTGTACACTTGCTTGTTTGTGTCTAGGTTCATCGATTAACACATGCAATATAATTCTGCAATACTCTACCCCGCCTTTATATATATATATATATATATATATATATATATATATATATATATATATATATATATATATATATATATATATATATATATACTTATGCTGTACAGAAACGTGTTTCTTTACCTTTTCTTTTTAATGTAAAGTCTTAAAGAATCCAGCAGCTATTGTGGCTTCACTTGAGGTATTGTAATCCAGTGATGTCGTTACCTTAACCAAAAATGTTCAAGGGGATGAAAGGATGTGTTGCAGTGCCAATTTGTGTTCAAAACAGACCGAAAACACCTAAAACTGGTTTAAAGTCACACTAGAAATCTATGTCAGAGCTCAGAAAGTCAGAACCTCCAAAACCTTCAAGCTCGTTTTATTTCTAGGCCAATTTGTACAAAGTCTAAATGTGCCCACATCACAGAAAACTTTAGTGAATGTCAACAAAAATCCTGGTAGAAATATCAGATTGGGTTGAGGCTTTGGTTAATGTTCTTTTAAACAGTCTGATCCTGTTGAACCTAACAATCCTTCTCTTGCTGAATGTATGCCATATGAGAAGTAAAACAGCTGATCAGTCCTAAACTGCCATGTAAATAAAGGAACAGTGATTTAGGGAGGATTTTATGATGCAAAAGGCATTGCTATATGAGGTGCTGAGTGTCTATCTTTTCTTAGGTCTTCTGATGCCCATTGGGGTTGAACATTGCTGTATTTTACATTTTATGCTACAACCCGATCCCTAGAGCTAACACGAGAGGATGCATTTTTTTTTAAAAGAATACAATTTATTTATTGAAATGGAGGTGAATGAGAGCGAGTTGTTACCACTTTGAGCTCCTCTGTCCAAAGCCAGCACTGAGGACATCCAGTTAAGCACCTTGCGTTGCACTACGACCTTCTAATCAAAACAAAAATCAATGCTCTGTTCTCTTGAAAAGGTTGGCGTACTTCTCCTGGACCCGTTATCTGGTTAAAGCGTGGACAAATGAAAGAGAATCCAATTGGGATTGCGAATAGGCAGCTGATTCTTTGTGTTAAACAAACACGGCGTCCAACTTTTGCAGCTCTGAACATCGATCTGGAGCCAAACTGTAAAATCAATCTGATGGACATTTCACTCAGGTTTTCTACCTTTCCAGAGAAATGTATCGATTGCTGCCATGTGGTTTTTCATTCATTAATGTAGACGTGTTGACTGAACCATCCTAAAAGAAAAACATCCCACGAATTTTGGTTGGCAGAGAAACCACGGAGGATGGAGTGGAGTTAAATCCCTGAGAAAACCTTCTGCTGAGAGGTTTTGATTCGTTGTCCTGAGTGTTGTTCAAGTCTTAAGACAAGATGTAGGTGATTGTTTTTATCCAAGGGCTTCATTACATGGCTTTTAAACCCTGATTTGTTGTCACAGTTGCGCAAACACAGCTTCTTTTTCTATTTTTACCAAAAACATGCACTAAATAAAACTTGTTCATCCTAGAGTTACATCATTTTGTCAGCTGCAGGAACTTTCTGTATTGCTTTTATTTCTTGTGGGAACGGTACTTGCCAAAACTCCAATATGATTGTGAATGGTCTATTCGAGTCTGCAGTTTTCGTGCACTTCAGTACTGTCCCAGCGTGATCAGTGGGTCCTCCTCCCTCCCTAATTCTTTTTGCTAATGCCAGAGTTTGCCCTATTAAGCTGCTATCAAGACTGTGCAGATGCGTCCACAGTCAGAAAGAGCAAGAATGGAGAGAGAAAGAGTTAAAGAGCTAATGTTTCAGGCAATATCAGGAACAGTCTCTGTTTTTATTGCACCCGCATTTTAAAACACGGTGTGTGGGATTCACTCTCACTGAAAACAACAACACAGCGACCCAGACTCTTTGATAACTCTGATCCCTCAGATGCAATGCTGGACAAGCACAAGGTTAGCTTAGCTCCTCTCCGTCATGAGTGTGTTCAGCAACCACTGATAAATGTGCGCACAGCGCCGCGTTCGCTCGATGATGAGGGTTGAAAGTGTGATTGTTCTGGCGTTTGCTGTGGAGTGGGAATGAATTCTTCGTGCATTTTTGACACTGGCTGATAATTATTGAGAATATCAAAGTTACAAACTTCTCATTCTTGCTGCACCAGATGTAAAGGGTACCGAATGCCTTGGTGTTGATACGTTAGCAAATCAGGGTATTGTTTTTGTTTGTTAGGCTTTGGTTTGTTTGTCTGTTTGATTTGATGTTGAGGTTTTTTTTTTCAATTTATTTATACAATGTGCCCCGTGCACATGGACTGTATATACCTTGTGCCTAGTATCTAGTTTTCACATAGTTTATTTTTGTGGTATGTATGTGCCTGTAAAAATGCAAATGTGTATTTTTAATTTCAACTTGCAATATATGTAAAAAAATACATTAGATAAAGGCGAGCATTGCTGAATTACAATGACAATGTCAATATTTATAATTTTCCCTGATGTGGGAAACACAAAATTGCACATTTTTGTTGGGTTGAACCTTCCAACACCATGCGCGGCGCTGTACTCTGTACTTTCATGTTCTGTACATACAATATACACAGAGATGTGGCGCACCTCGTTGTGTTTTACTGCAACCTGCTGCATAAGAAACATTTTCTACAGTGAGAGGGTGAGCTCTGACTGGCTCCTGGTGGATACTGGCAGTCTAGACATTAGCTTAGGGGATTTTCTTGCTGCGAAAACACCAAAAAGTGGCAGAAATTACAAAGAAAAACGGTGGAAATGCTTGCATAAGATTTCAAAAACACAGACTGTGCATTTGCTGCACAGTATTTCACACTGATGTTGGTTGCACACTGATCTGGTGTTGGCCATAAAGTTAAAAAATAAGACCTCTTCAGTAGTGAGTCAGACTCCGGAGCCATCACAGTCTCGAGCGTGACTCCCAGCTGAGTTACCCGACTGAAAAAGCAGAGTGCATGCTTGTATTTTTCATGTCTAAGCAAAGTTCAGTGTGTGACTCTTTGTGGGACCTTCAAATCTAGACATTGTCGTGTACTAACTACTATACAAAGATTTTATTTAGTCTAACAGTTAAACTTTTGTGTCGTAGCTACTGTAGCCTGCTTAACTTACCTAAGCCTTCTCTCTGCTTCAGGACTCTGTGTGCTTGAGTTTGTGTGTGCGTGTGTGTGGGCGTGTGTGTGTATGTGTGTTCCTGTGCCTTTCCTTCTATAATGTTGGTCCCACTTGAGAATATGATGCCATTGAGGGGTTTGAAACTCACAAGATGCTGAGAGATGCCAGCACAAACTGAATAATGGTAAATGGTCATGGCCATATTTGTTTCACAATCAATAGAAAATTTTAAAAAAGCTAAAAGACACATAAACAGTGAAAAAGGCTTTATAGAAATGACTCCAGCACAGGCTTAGATTTAGTAGCATTCCACAGCCTGCAGGAACTGCTTGGTGTGGACATCCAGACAAACTTTACCAGCACTATGTAGACGACAGCACAGATATCCGATACAGCACGTGTCCTCTCTTCCTGAAAGCCAGTCTGCAACCATCTCAGGCTGTGCTCAGCTTCTACTCATGAACAAAAACGGTTCAAGTATTACTCGACTCCAGCTCTGTCTTAAGTTGATGTCTACAATCCAGGGACAACTCAGCTCCTAGCCCAAGCCACAGCGCTCCCAAATCAGTCTCCAAGGGTCAGAGGGGCTCCTGGTTTGTGTTAATCAGTGTCCGATCCCTTCAGACTGTGATGCACAGCTGGTGTTCGGGGTGTGGGGCTGATTTGACCCTGCGTCCAAAAGGCTGTCTTGTCCACCACCTCTGCTGGCCGATAAGGCAGAACCACACCCTGGTTTATCTCAATAAGCTGGTCTGTCAGTCAGTGGCAATGTTGTTCAAGCGTTGGTAAAAACAGACAATACATTGTTGTGCAATAAAAAGATGAGCGCATTGGCATACTTATCTTTGTGTGTGGATTTTTATTTGTCAGTGTGTCTTTGATTGTTATGTGCAGTTTCAGTTTCCACACCTTGACTCATTTCAGTATACTCACATGTTAAATGGCCACCCCTTCACACTTATTGTACCCCAGATCAGATGAGATCTCTCTCTGTCTCTCTCTCACTCCACAGACAGGAGCTCTGCTGCATCCCTGATGAGATGTCTGAGCTCAGACTAACAGCCCTCCTCTGGTGTGTTCTTGTGCATGTGAGCACACAGCGCTGCGCAGCAGCAAGTGAGCATTTTTAGCCGTTTTGGGTTTGCCACGCACATGCAAGCCCTAGTTTGGTGTTTGTCTGAGACCGAGAGGGTAAATTAACCTGTAGCAGGAGTGTGTGAGGAAAGGCGGGAGGGTGTGTGCGTCAGAGATGAGGGCAGTCCAAGGACACCGTCCTCTGGCTGCTGGAGGAGCAAAACCCACCCTTTTTGCTTGCTGTCTACGTCTTTTTCTTCTCGTGCACACACACAAACACACAAAGCTGTCTGGATTCCCAGTGATTATGCATGGCACACTGAGATGGAAAGATTAAGATTACAAGCAAGGTGAAATTTCGACACAGAGCTTCACGCCACTGATGTTGCCTCCCCAGGTC